AAATCCTTAACTTAAAATTTAGTACTTTTTTTTGGAACTTTTTACAAATTTTGGTACAAATTTTAAAGCCTAAAAATTTCTAAATTTCAAAAATATTATTAAATTTATGTAAAATGTAAAAAGGACCGTTAAACTGCAAAAAATTTTCTAACAAAAGTCTTGATTTAAAATTTAGTACTTTTTTTGGTACTTTTTTAAAATGCAGATTTTAAAGCCAAAAAAGGTGAAAATTTTAAAATTTTATTAAATTTATATAAAACGTAAAAGGGCCGTGAAACTGAACACAATTTTCTAACAAAAGTCTTAACTTAAAATTTAGTACTTTTTTTGGTACTTTTTTAAAATGCAGATTTTAAAGTCAAAAAACTCATAAATTTTAACAATTTCAATAAATTTATAGAAAAAATAAGCAGGGCCTTTAAATTGCACCAAATTTTCTAACAAAATCCTTAAGTCAAAATTTAGTACTTTTTTTGGTACTTTTTAAAAAAACAAATTTTAAAACCAAAAAATGCTTACAATTAAAAAATTTTATTAAATTTATGTAAAATGTAAGAAAGGCCGTTGAACAAAATTTTCTAACAAAAGACTTGATTTAAAATTTAGTACTTTTTTGGTACTTTTTGTTTAAAAAAGTATACTTTTAAGCAAAAAATGTCTTAATTTTAAAAATTTCAACAAATTGATATCAAAAAACTTAATTTTAAACCCATTTTACTTATAATTAATATAAAAAAACATTAAAATCTAATTTTGTAAAAAGTATCAAAAAAGTACTTTTTGGTAATTTTACGCTTTTTATAGAAATTTAAGGTAAAAAACAAATAACTCCTATTTTTATAAAATTTTGAAGAGTTTTCCTTAAATAGTATTGAAAACTACATAAATTCAACTACATATTGAAAAAAGGACCAAAAAAAGTACTTTTTTAAAAATGTCAAATTTTTGTTCCAAAAAAACGTAAAATTTATATAAAATCGAGTTTTAAAAAAAGTACCAAAAAGTACTTTTTGGAAATTTCTTAAATTTAACTGAAATTGAAGGCCAGTAATTTAAAATTTTAAAAAGTTTTTGTGAAATCGAGTTAAAAAAAGTAAAGTTTTTATAAGAATGTCAAGTTTAGCAAAAAGTACCAAAAAAAAGTACTTTTTCAAAAATGGGAAATTTTTGTTCCGAAAAGCCTATTTAACTAAGAAAACTTGAGATTTATGTTAAAAAGCGATTTTTTAAAAAGTATCAAAAAAGTACCTTTTGGAAATTATTAAATTTTAAAGAAAATTCTTAAAGGAAAACATGAGCGGATAAAGAAAAGCTATAAAAAAATGTCTTACAATTTCTTATTGTGTATTTTAAAGGTTCAGATTAAATTTGAAACAAAAAAGACAATTTGAAAAAAAAAGGAATATTTAAGAACCAAACATTAATATTCATTAAACCCCAAACATTATTATGCTAAAAAGATAATGATCTTTTTATGACATCTTCTTGTTTTTTTTTTTTTGTGGCTTATTTTCCTTAGAAACCCACTGCTTAGGGTCTTTTTGCCTTAATAAGTATTTAAACATTCCTCTAGCATAATTTTCACACATTTTCAATGCGCGACACCACACCATAATGACGTGACTGAGACACACGCATACCTGTAAACGGATGAATATGAAGAAATATCCTTTTGTTTGAATGCAACATTTCAAAATATTTTTGTTTGTTGCAAGTACTAGTTGTCACAGTTAAGCAAGCAGTAGAGAGAGGGACAAAGTGATAGAGAATGAGTAAGTGAGGGGTTCTTTTATGCAACGTGCATCATTAAGCATTCCACAAACGTGTTTTCTTTAGATGCTTCTTACATTTTTTTACCACAATAAACCAACAACATATGATTTCCGTTAGCAACGACGCCGCCAACACCACCAACCCGCACGATATAAGTTCATAGCCAGGCATCAGCACCTGTGTACATAATCAGTTATTTGAAAAACTCCAGTGTTCGAATCCAGTTGTTTGACGTGTATAAGGAGAGTCAGCGAGGTTAGAGGCGTCTTGCTTAAAGTATTTAGTTAATCCGTCTGTCTGTCTTCATATTAATGATAGAGAAAAAACATTAAACAAACACTAGAAGAATGTTGTTGAGGTTGGTTAATGTACTTTCAAGGAATTTTTAATTAATTTTAATTATGAAAATTGATTTTCAGTTTTAAAAAATTTTATTGATTTAAAAATGAAAAGTTAGTTTTAATAAAACCTTCACTTGTGGTTAGTCACTTGGAACTGCTGGGAGTTTTAGTTATAAAAGAAACATAAATAAAGTTTAAAAAAATTAAAACTAAAACATTTTATATATTTCAAAAGCTCTAAGTCTCTAGTATTACTAGATAAAAATATCGGTTAAGGAATGTAAAAGTTATAAGCAATAATGTAAGAGCATTACAAATAGATTAAAAAACTACTATAATTGTATAAATTATCCAAGTTCTTTTCAAATAATATTGAATTTTCTGAATGAAAGCTTAAGAATATCATACATATTTAAAAAGCTTAAACTCTCAGCTATAATTGTGTAAAAACTAACAACAGATCGGTTAAGGAATGGCAGAGTAATAAGCATAAGAACAATAATATAAAAAATAGTAATATTATAAACAAAATCTAAAAGAAATAGCAAATTCTTTTAAACAAATTTTAAATTTTCTGAATGAAAGTTCGAGATCATAGTACAGATTCTGAAAGCTTAATGTGTCTCTAACAATTGTATAAAAACTAACAACAGATCGGTTAAGGAATGACAGAGTCATAAGCATAAGAACAAGAATATAAGAAATAATAATATTATAACCAAAATCCGGAAGAAAAAGCAAATTCTTTTAAAAAAATCTTAAATTTTCTGAATGAAAGTTCAAGATTATTGTACAGATTTTGAAAGCTTAAAGTGTCTCTAATAATGATATAAAAACTAACCGCAGATCGGTTAAGGAATGACAAAGCTGTAAGCAAAAAAACAAAAATATTATAAATAGTAATATTATAAAAAATTTAATAAAAATAACTTGTTCTATTTAAAAAATCTTAAATTTTCTGAATGTAAACTTAAGAATATCATACATATTTAAAAAGCTTAAAGTATTAGCTATAATTGTATAAAAACTAACAACAGATCGGTTAAGGAATAACAAAGTTATAAGCAAAAGAAGAAGAATATAAAAAACGTTAAAATGATATAAAAAAATAGGAGAAATTGCGAATTCTTTTACAAAAATCTTAAATATTCCGAATGAAAGTTCAGAAATATTGTACAGATTTTAAAAGCTTAAAGTGTCAGCTATTAGTTTATAAAAATTAACCAAAGATCGGTTAAGGAATGACAAAGTTATAAACAAAAGAAGAAGAATATAAGAAATAGTAATATAGAGATTTTTTTGCAGAAACAGCGAATTTTTTTTCAAAAATTTTTTTATTTTCTGAATGGAAAAGCATGAATATTGCATATATTTTAAAAGCTTAAAGTCTCAACTTTAATTGCGTAAAATATCATTAAAAAAGTAAAAGATCATTTAAGTTATGAAAGAGCTTTACGCAAAAGTTCAAGCTTATAAACATTAAAAAATTTAACGCTATAATAAATACAAATTCTTTTTAAGAAATATTGCATTTTCTGAATGAAAGTTTTGATAAATTGTATAGCTATTGAAAGCTTTAGGCCTCAGCTATAACTGTCTAAAATAAAGAAAAGATCCATGAAGAAATAAAGAATTTAAAAGCATTTTTAAGATCTTACATTTAGTAGAAATATATTTTTTTCCAATTTTGAACATTTTCTTTAAATAATATGGAATTTTCTTAACGAAAGTTTAAATAAATTGTACAGCTTTTGAAAGCTTAAAGTCTTAGAAATAACTGCCAACAATATGGAAAAGATCAGTTCAGAATTAAGGAAGTTATAAACAAAAGTATAACATCGTAGAAATATGATTTTTTTCAGATTTTTCAATAATAATAGCAAAGTCTTTTAGAAAAATATTAAATTTTCTAAATAAAAGTTTAGATAAATTCTACAGCTTTTGAAAGCTTAAAGTCTTAGCTATAACTGTCAACAATATGGAAAAGATCTGTCAAGAAATAAGGGAGTTATAAATGTAGAAAATTTGTTTGTTTTTTTTAATTACAATTTCTTTAACTAAAATATTGAATTTACTGAAGGAAAGTTTAAATAAATTATATAGCTTTTGAAAGCTTAAAGTCTTAGCTACGGTTAACTAAAATATCATAAAGATCTCTTAAGAAGTAAGGAAGTTATAAACAAAAGTTTAGGGGCATAAATGTAAGATTTTTTTTTATTGTTTTCAACAACTACAATTTCTTTAACAAAAATATTTAATTTTTTGCATAAAAGTTTAGATAAGTGGTATAGCTTTGGAAAGCTTAAAGTCTTGTCTATAACTGCCAACAATATGGGAAAGATCTGTTAAGAAATAAGGATGCTATAAACAAAAGTTTAAGGGCATAAATGTAAGAAATTTGTTTGTTTCTTAAAGTACAATTTCTTTAACAATATTATTAAATTTTCTGAATGAAAGTTTAGATAAATTATATAGCTTTTGAAAGCTTAAGGTCTTAGCTATAATTTACTAAAATATAGGAAAGATCTGTTAAGAAATAATTAAGTTATAAATAAAAGTGTAAGAGCATTGATATAAGAAATTTCTTTGTGTTTCTCTAAAATGTCGATAGCAGTAATATTTTCTTTAAGAGATATATGGAATTTTCCGAATGGAAGAGTATGAATATTATATATATTTTGAAAGCTTAAAGTGTTAGCTTTTGATATAAACTTGACAAAAAAAGAACGGTTAAGTATTAACGAAGTTATAAGCAAAAGTGTATATCTTACAAAATAAGGAATTTTAAAATTATTAGCAAATTTTAATAAAAAAAATTTGCTAGATTAATTAACACACATTTTATTAAATTTCTAATAAATTTTTCTTTTTTTTAACTCTTTACAGCTTCTTTAAATGGCCAAAGGGACTTTTTAAACAATTTGTTTTAGTTTTCCTGCATTTAAACTTTAAAAATCTCAATAAATTTTTATAAAAATAAAAAAACAACTTTAGTGTGAAAAAAATCGTGTTAAAATTATAGTTTTTTTCTATATAAAACAAAATACCTAACAGTGAATAACACCAATTTGTTTTAAAAATATAACAAACAAAATCTAAATAAAAATATAGTGTTTTTTATTGCGAAAAAATAAACGAAAAAAAAAACATATAAAAAACATTCTAAAATAAAACTAACAAACATCAATCTGTAGCAGATATAAAAAAAATTTACTAGAACAACGCACTGCTTCAACTGAACGACAGCAAAAACAACAACAACAACTATACAAAAATGGGGCCTATAGGCAAAATAAATATTAAACCATTGGCAACCAAAGCCATCATAGCAGTATTATTTTTAAATTTATTATTAATAGGTAAGTGCATATTTAAAATTGTAATTTATAATAAAATAAAGAAATTTTTTTTTCAAAAATTAATTACTTGACTCTTAAAAACAGCTTTAACTTTTAAGCAAATATTTGTTAAAGTTTATAGTTTTGTTATGGAACTAGTATTTGTTTAACAACATCAGCTGACAATTATTTAAATTATAAATAGTATAATTTAATTTAATAACCCTAAAAACTTGTCTAAACATTTTGCAATTTCAATAAAAAAATATTCCATAACATTCTAGACCTTTAAATGGAGACACAATCTTTAAATAAATAGAAATATTTATTTGCCTTAAAAATTCCCCAAAATATTGCTTAATTTGAATAGTTCTTTCAACATAATCCCTAAGTTTTGCTATAAGAACTAACCTTAGTCTTATTTAAATAACTGTTTATGATATTATTGCTTAAAAAAGATAATTATTATCTTTTTAAGATTAGATTATTAAACAAAAAAATTTATCACTATTTCATAAACTTTATAGATAAAAAGTAACTAAACCCTAAACTGTCACCACTTGCTCAATATAAAATCTTAAAAAAAATATATAAAAATTATACAAAAGAATCAAATTAACCAATACCCTAACAATTTCCAAACAAAAATCTAAAAAAACAACCAAAAAGTGGCAACTCTGTTAAATAAAATCTTAAAAACTTTCCTGTAACTAGCTTACTTTTTAATATTCATAATATCAACTAAATAAGTCTAAAACAAATGAAAGCTTAAGCTGATATCATATATATTTAAAAAGCTTAAAGTGTCAACTATACTTATATGAAAACTAATAACAGATCGGTTAAGGCATGAAAAAGATATAAGCAATAGAACGAAAATATAAATAAAAAATATTATAAAACAAAATTTAATAAAAATAGCAAATGCTTTCAGAAAAATCTTAAATTTTCTGAATGAAAGTTTAAAAATATTGTACCGATTATGAAAGCTTAAAGTGTCTGCTATAGTTGTGTGAAAACTAAACACAGATCGGTTAAGTAATAACCAAGTAATAAGCAAAAGAACTAGAATACAAGAAATAGTAATATTGTAAAGATTTTTTATAAAAATAGCAAATTCTTGTAAAAAAAAATAACTTTCTGAATGAATGCTTAAAAATATCATACATATTTAAAAAGCTTACAGTGTCAGCTATAAGTGTATAATAACTAACAGCAGATCGGTTAAGGAATGACAAAGTTATAAGCAAAAGAAGACGAATATAAAAAACGGTAATATGATATGAAAAAAATTAAGAAAAATTGCGAATTATTTTTACAAAATCTTAAATTTTCTGAATTAATGTTAAGGAATATTGTACATATTTTGAAACCTTACGGTGTCTGCTACAATTATGTCAAAACTAACAACAGATCGGTTAAGGAATGACAAAATTTTAAGCAAGAGAAATAGAATATAAAAAATGGTAATATAATAGGAAAAAATTAAGAGAAATTGCGAATTCTTTTAAATAAATCTTAAATTTTCTGAATGAAAGTTCTGAAATATTGTACAGATTTTGAAAGCTTAAAGTGTCAGATATAAGAGTATAAAAATAAACCACAGATCCGTTAAAGAATGACAAAGTTATAAGCAAAATAAGTAGAATATTAAAAACATAATAATAAATTAATACAAACAGCAAATTCATTTAAAAAAATCTTAAATTTTCTGAATGAAAGTTCTGAAATATTGTACAGATTTTGAAAGCTCAAAGTGTCAGCTATAAGAGTATAAAAATAAACCACAGATCCGTTAAAGAATGACAAAGTTATAAGCAAAATAAGTAGAATATTAAAAACATAATAATAAATTAATACAAACAGCAAATTCATTTAAAAAAATCTTAAATTTTCTGAATGAAAGTTCTGAAATATTGTACAGATTTTGAAAGCTCAAAGTGTCAGCTATAAGAGTATATAAATTAACCACAGATCGGTTAAGGAATGACAAAATTATAAGCAAAAGAAAATAACAAAAACATTGCATTATTATTAATGTAAACGATTTATTAACATTTAAACAAAAGGGTGGCAGCTCTTTCGATTCAAATTTCCAAAAACATGAGTTATTGCATCTAAAATTTACTTATAGTAACAGTTTTTAAAATATCGGATATTTTTCAATATGAACAAAATAGGTGGCAACCTTTTACAACAAAAAGTAACTGTTTTCGCACAAAAACTTAATATTATTAATAAATTATTTAACTATTTTGTAAATCTCTAGAAACTTTACAAAATTCTGTTAATTTAATAAAAATAGGTGGCAACACCAAGAGCAAAATGTTGACTATTTCTATTTTAAACATGAGTTATTGCATCTATAATGAACCCGTGGTAAAAATTTGTTAAAAATATCGAATATCTTGCAATATGAACAAAATAGGTGGCAACCTTTTATAACAAAAAGTAACTGTTTCCGCACAAAAACTTAATATTTTCAATAAATTATTTAACTTTTTTTGTAAATTTTTAGACATTTTACAAAAATCTGTTAATTTAACAAAATAGGTGGCAACACTAAACGGAAAATGTCGACTATTGCTATTTTAAACATGAGTTATTGCATGTATAATGAACTTCTAGTAAAAATTTGTTAAAAATATCGAATATCTTGCAATATGAACAAAATAGGTGGCAACCTTTTATAGCAAAAAGTAACTGTTTCCTTGAAAAATTTTTATATTATTAGTAATTTATTTAAATATTTTACAAATCTTCATATAATTTACATTTATTTTTTAATTAACCAAATAGGTGGCAACCTTATTTAACAAAAACTGACTGTATCTGCTAAAGATTTTTATATTATTAATAAGTTAGTTAAGTATTTTATAAAGCTTAAAAAATTTTATAAAATTCTGTTAATTTAAGCAAATAGGTGGCAACACTTAACGCAAAATGTTGATTTTTACTGTTTTAATCATGATTCATTTCATATATAATGAACAGTGGGTTATAATTACTAAAAATATGTAATAATTGTTAACATTAACCAAATAGGTGGCAACCTTGTTTAACAAAAAGTGACTGTTTCTGCTAAACATTTTTTTATTATTAATAAATCATTTAAGTGTTTTATAAGTCATAAGAAATTTAATAAAAATCTCTTAATTTAAGCAACTAGGTGGCAACGCTAAAAGGCAAAACCTTTATATTTTAGTTAAAAACATGTTTTTTATTTATCAAGAACTCTTGGCAAGAATTTTATAGAAAAAAAATCAAATATTTTGCCGCTTGAACTAAATAGGTGGCAACTCTTAAAGTAGAAGATGAATTAAATCTTCTTAAAGTTAAACTATTTGTATCATAATGTTTTTTTAACAGAAAATTGTTATGAAATGTTTCTTAATTATAGAAATATGTTCTGTTCTTTTAAGAAATCTGGCAACTTTGCATTTAATTTAATTTAAACTCTATTTTTTTAAAAAGTAATTGCTAACCTTATTAAACTTGCAAGTCAAACTATACAACTTTATTTTGAAAGAAAAAAAAGCTATCTACTTTTTGCTACAAAGTAAAACTATGTTAAATAAAGTACAAAGAAATGAAAAAAACCTATACATATGTACATAGACTGTAATGTAATGAATTTCCTTTTTGATTATGTAATTGAAAGTAATAGAGCTGGCTGACTGACTGTTTGACTGGTTGGTTGGCTGTTTACGTATTCACTCTTTTTTTTTCTAACAACTACGTTTCTATGTCATCATTTTCCTATCATTTGTAATGTTAATCATGGGAACCTTTTTCAACATTTTCTCAAACGTAGTTACATACATACTTACATGCATTCAGACTTGCCTTAGATTGTTTTTAGTGTTTTTTTAGTAATTTTCCTGTTGGCTTAAAAAAACACAAGATTTTTCTTTCTTTATTTTGTACTGAAGTTGACCGTATTTCCGTTTTAAACATAAAAAATTTTTCTTACTTTTTATTGCTCTGCTATAATTGCAATATAAAGTCTATACAAGAGACTATATTCATTAAGATCTAAGCTAGACAGACGGATGGACGGACAGATGGATGGACGGACGAACGTATAGATGGACAGACGGACGGACAGACAAATTGAGTTAAATTGTTAATATTAATGTATTACTAACTTTCCTAACATATTAACCTTTCACTATTATCTAAAACTCCATTTAAAAAAACATTCTAACTAAAACTATAACTCATGAAAGTTATCTTTTGCGTTTAAAATTTCATTTTATTTTGATTTTAAACTATTTTCAGCTGAAACCTACACTTAACCCAAATTCTAATACCTGTAATTCTTAAAATTAAGCTAGAAAAAAATTGTTCTTAAGCCAACTTAACCAGCACCAGTAACCCGTTTTTTTTTTTTTACATAAACTTTTTGTGTTTAAACATGAAAATTAATTGCTGAACATTATTATTTCTGACAGAAAACAAAAGGCGGCTTAGAAAAGCTAAATCTAAAAACGCCTCTTAACTTTTTAACAACTACTTTTTATATGCTACTTTTATGGCTTATTAAAATTTTCAAAATTATGGCTACATAAATAATAATTTTGTCTAGCTAGCAAATAGATAAAAATCTAGCTTTCGACAAAGTTTTGCGAAGAAAAACTGAAAATGCTTTAGTTTTATTAAAAGTTTAACAAATTTTGAACATTATATCTGAACATAAACCTAGTTTAGAGAGCAAAGAAAAAAATGTATCAAATTAAGTTTAAAGCAACATTTAGAAAGTAAATATTGCTAGTTCAGCTAATTAAAGGAATGAAAACAATAAAATGTAATTGAACTTTGACAGCAAATGTTAAGAAACTCATCTTCAATAGAGCAGTGATTGGCACTATGAGCAATTCAACAATCAGACAGCTTTATGGAGCCCCAATATTTTGCTTTTTATTGAGTAAAATGTTTTCCCAAATCTTGGCTCTCTATGAACCCAAATCTCTCTAAAAATTTAGATGTTTAATAAAACCAAATCAAGTCCGCAAAACAGT